CCTGGGCCTGTCTCACTTGGCATCTCCGGTTCAGGATACCCCAGGGGTACACTTGGTGCGGCTCTATTTTTGGCAGGTCACAGAGAAAGCATCTCATCAAGATCTGCTTGCCCTGCACTCTCAGCCCTGTCTGGAACTGGCTGGTTGCTGTGTACCAGTTCCACTTTACACAAGTCCTTCCTGTACCGGTCTCCAGCTTGCTGCCTTTGTATGCTTCTGGGAGATTTTCTTTGTTCTGGGTTCTGTTCCCGTTTCACAGCTGCACCCTGCCAGCTCTGAGTTCACCTCACAGGGCTGCAGGGACATCCTCCCTCCCCCAGGGGCTCCTGGCCGCTCATCTGCTCCAGGCTCAGTGGCCGGCCTCGGGTCCCAAGGGACGGAACAGACTGGGCTGTGCGAGCTTGTGCCTTGCAGCCCCCAGCAGACAGCTTCCTCGTGCTTCGTCCTGCGCTCCCGTGGCTATCCCAGGCCTGCCAGATGTGTCCTGAGAGCTGAGGGGATGCACTTTCCTCTCTCTGTCTACCCTGGCAGAGCACCTCCACCACCTGCACGCCCATATCCTGCCGGGTGTGACGCTCCCAGCCGTCAGTGGATCACCCTGCCGGGAAGGAGCCAGGAGCCACAGCTTTAGGCTTGGGGGCTCGAGGGGCTCGCGCTCAGAGACAGAGCGCAGGCCTGTCCACTGAACACCTTCTAGCCTGTCCTCTGGTTCTTGCTCCACTTTCCTCATTCTTGTTGCTAGGAGTACCCAGAGCCCAAGCCCCAAGGAGTGGAGTGGCAGGTGGGCAGGGCAAGAGCTGGTACAATTTGGAACTTTCCAAGGAGGCGAATTCACCATGAGCCTGGCAGCCTTTCACGCTGCAGGGGACACTGATGATAAGGAGACACTTCTTATCACTTTGGGGAGACTGCCAGACACCCCACTGCCACTCCCACCGGGCCTCTTACACCACTGGCTATGACATGGCTCTGGGCCAGCGGTCCGCCACAGCCTGCAGTGAGGACCACTGACTGACAGTGGCACCCAGAGGCCCAGGACCCTCAGCAGCGTCCATGCCACAGAGCAGACATCTCTGGCTCGTTTATAAGAATGACGGACGCTGCTTTTATAAGCACAGCAACTACTCATCACTGGAAACAGGTAATGACAGGAGAGAATGCAGAGCTGGAACCTCTCTGTTACCCCAAAAGAGCAACTGCAGGAAAGAAACAAACCTAAGCTTGGAACTTGGAGGAATTCCCAAATTAACCTTGTTCACACTTTGAAACAACCAAGGAGTGTCTGCACGGCTGAAAGAAGTTTTAGTCACTCGTTTAAAGAAACAAAGCGTGCTATATGCGTCCAGTGTGACAGGCGAGAGGCCATCCCTCCTCTGCCTGGCTGCTCAGTTCGCTTTCACGGCGCAGCTTCCATGCCGGCCTGGGCTGCAGCACTGGGTCAAGCTGGGAGCGCCTGTCCGAGCCTCAGTGCGCTGTACCGCAGGGAGCAGCTGCTGTGTGAGCTTGCCCGGGGACTCTTCCCATCCTGGGTCTTTGTGAGTTCACCTTCCTGTCCCACAGGGTCTTCAGGGGAGACGGTGCGGGGACGCTACTGTCCACACCTTCCTCCTCAGAGGATGACATGGCTGGATCCAGTGCCCTGGCCACCCTTCCCCTGGTCTGTGACGCCAGAAACTGCTGAAGATGACCTGCTCCTCAAAGACGCTGTTCCGAGCTCAGGGCAGCTATGCCCTGCAGATGTGCAGAGCCAGGCCCAGGGCAAGCGTGTCAAGCCCTGTCACCCCGGGCTGGGTCACCTGTGCCCTCTGTTCCCATTGGCTCTCCTCTAACTCTGCAGGCCCTGTGACCGGCTCAGGACACGAAGCAGACTGTCAGCTGTTTTTCCTTACCCCTTACCATCGTTTATTTGTTAATGTTGTGCTTCCACACTTAGGATGTTATTTTAAACATATATTTGGGCCTTGTGTCCTTGCTATCTGAAGCTTAACCCTCATGGCCATCCAGGTCCTGGGGCCCATGAGGCCTTGTTTCCCTTCACTTGACTCTCGGGCACATTTACACTCCTCTAACTAGTCTCCTGAGGCAAGGGGCTGATGTCTCATGTTCTAGCATTTTCTGCAGTCTCATGAGGGATTGTGGGTAGAGGCAGAATCCCTGGGAGCCACCCCCTTGCTCTCTGCTAGCTTGTGGCTGTCCCATGGACAGGGTGCACCCAACCCCGAGGACACGGTGTTTGCTGTGTTCCCACTCAAATGCCTAAGCTGGGGGTTTTCCCCACATCACCCAGTTCTACCTAGTAGTAGACTTCGTTTACTTTTTTCTTACAGAGACTGGGAGGATGGAGGATGGATGGAGGATGGATGGAGGATGGAGGATGGATGGAGGATGGGGGATGGATGGAGGATGGATGGAGGATGGAGGATGGATGGAGGATGGATGGAGGATGGAGGATGGATGGAGGATGGAGGATGGATGGAGGATGGAGGATGGATGGAGGATGGAGGATGGATGGAGGATGGAGGATGGATGGAGGATGGAGGATGGATGGAGGATGGAGGATGGATGGAGGATGGAGGATGGATGGAGGATGGATGGAGGATGGATGGAGGATGGAGGATGGATGGAAGATGGAGGATGGATGGAGGATGGATGGAGGATGGATGGAGGATGGAGGATGGATGGAGGATGGATGGAGGATGGATGGAGGATGGATGGAGGATGGAGGATGGATGGAGGATGGATGGAGGATGGATGGAGGATGGATGGAGGATGGAGGATGGAGGATGGATGGGTGGAGGATGGATGGAGGATGGATGGATGGAGGATGGATGGAGGATGGATGGAGGATGGAGGATGGATGGAGGATGGATGGAGGATGGATGGGTGGAGGATGGATGGAGGATGGATGGAGGATGGATGGAGGATGGAGGATGGATGGAGGATGGATGGAGGATGGATGGGTGGAGGATGGATGGAGGACGGATGGAGGATGGAGGATGGAGGATGGATGGAGGATGGATGGAGGATGGGGGATGGATGGAGGATGGAGGATGGATGGAGGATGGATGGAGGATGGATGGAGGATGGAGGATGGAGGATGGATGGGTGGAGGATGGATGGAGGATGGATGGATGGAGGATGGATGGAGGATGGATGGATGGAGGATGGATGGAGGATGGATGGAGGATGGAGGATGGATGGAGGATGGATGGAGGATGGATGGGTGGAGGATGGATGGAGGATGGATGGAGGATGGATGGAGGATGGAGGATGGATGGGTGGAGGATGGATGGAGGATGGATGGAGGATGGATGGGTGGAGGATGGATGGAGGATGGATGGAGGATGGATGGGTGGAGGATGGATGGAGGATGGATGGAGGATGGATGGAGGATGGATGGAGGATGGAGTTTAGTTCCTGATCAGAAGTCCCTTGGTGACACACCATCACAGCTCGTGAGAAGCGACCACCCATGGTGCCGTATGACAAAGTGTGCAAGCCCACCACGTGACCGAGAGCAGCCACAGTCAAGGCGTATTCCTCTGTCCTGGCCTGCAGCAAGTTTATACAAACAGGGCCAAGATATAGATTTTTTTGCCTAAGTCCTCTACATGCAACAGACACTTTGAAATCTTAATTTTCCCAGTGATTTCAATGACTTTTACTCTCAAAGACCTGGCTGGTGAAGCAAAGCAAGAATGGCCAAGGCCGCTGCGGCACCACCGTTCTGCTCCCAGAGCAGTGAGAAGATATGGAAATGGCAGAGCCTCAAGTTACCAGCACGGGAGCCCGGGGAGCACCAGCGTGAACAGCTGGGTCTGTGGATGCCCACGTGAGGGCTGCTCCAGACATGTGTGAATTTCTTTCTCACAGGGTATCATTGCACAGACCTGCAGCTTTAAGTCTTCCATCACTGAAGAACAACAAAGCCTACACAACTGTGGAAAGCGTAAGCTTGGGGGCCAGTGCTGTGACACAGCAGGCAGCGCTGTGGCCTCTGCCACCCACGTCCCACACGCGTGCCGGGTGGTGCCCCAGCTCCCTGCTAATGGCCTGGGGAACGCAGAGGAAGATGCCCCTGCCACCCACAAGCGAGACTAGATGAAACTCCTGGCTCTTGGCTCCAGCCTGGCCCAGTCCTGTCCATTTCAGCCACCTGCAATGGGCGTGAGTCACCAAATGGAAAAATCTCTTTCAAATAAGTAAAAGAAAAAAGCATTTAAAATTCTAGATAATCTTAAATTAACTTTCCTCATTTCCCTTCCTTCCTGTGGTACATTGCACCCATTGGGCTCTTGATGAGTTAGTAAACCCCTCGATGTTTCCGCCTTCTTTCCAGCTCCCTTTGAGCAGGACACACGCTCGGCCAGGCAGTGGGCCCATTCCTGAGGTGCCACCTCCTCCTGGGCTGAGCACCACTGTTCCCTCTGGGCTATGTGCTGCTTCTTGGCACCGTCTGCTGAGGCAGGGCAGTCCACGGCCTCCTTAGAAGGGATCCTCAGGGGCCTGGTGGCGTGGTCTAGCAGCTAAAGTCCTCACCTTGAACGCGCTGGGATCCCATATGGGCGCCGGTTCTAATCCCGGCAGCTCCGCTTCCCATCCAGCTCCCTGCTTGTGGCCTGGGAAAGCAGTGGAGGACAGCCCAAAGCCTTGGGACCCTGCACCCATGTGGGAGACCTGGAAGAGGTTCCCAGTTCCTGGCTTTGGATTGGCGCAGCACCGGCCATTGTGGTCACTTGGGGAGTGAATCATTGGACGGAAGATCTTCCTCTCTGTGTCTCCTCCTCTCTGTATATCTGACTTTACAATAAAAATAAATAAACCTTTACAAAAAAAAAAAAAAAAGAAGGGATCCTCAGAATCCACACGAGTCCTTTCCACTTGGCTTCAACTAGACCGCCCCCCCAAGATCAAAAAGATGAGCCTGACTATATCCCCCAGGCCTCCTGCAACAGTGGCTGAGGCCTGCCCCAACCCCCAGGCCTCCCAGCACGTGCTCACCGTGGTGTACTCAAAGTAGTAGAGGCAGTTGTCCGTCAGGATGAACCAGCGCCTTTTCCAAGTCTTTACTCTGCCACCTGCACAGCAAGGAGAGACGCACGCACAGTCGACAAGAGACAGCAGGCAAGTCCCACCCAGGACACGGAGCTCTTCTCGGGGGGGCGGGGCAGGGCAACAGGGCAACACAGAGACCATGGCGAAACTGACATGGCTAACAAGACACGGCCAAACAGAAGCATCTGTCGCAGGGTGAGTGTCTACGGGCACAGGCAGAGCAAGCGTGTCCAAGTGACAGCCTGGAGGAGGTGTCAGGACAGCAGGACGGGAAGAGAAGCCCAGAGGTAGTCATGATTAATGCAAATCTGCCATGGGCTAGAGAGGCATCTGCTAAAGGCCGTGGGGTGGAGGTGAGCAAAGGAAAGAGAGGGCTGGCTCGGCCCTGGGGCAGCCCCACTGCTGCTGACCACAGGCCTGGGCGTCCAGGAAGGAGGAGATGGGAGGGGAAAGCCTGTGAGCCCTGCGCAACCCAAGCCCCAGTGCCTCGCAACACGGAAGCACGCCCTAGTGCTCTGCCCTCCCTCTGCCTCCCTCCTGCAGCCCCAGCCAGCCTGTAAATGGGACCTTCCAGAGCCTGGGGAAAGCCCAGTGACTGTCCCCAGCTGTCCCCAGAGGTCAGCATTGAGTCTCCACAGGTCTGGACTCATAGCTTACTAGAGGTGGCACGGGACCAAGCGGCATGCCACAGGCCCAGGGGCCTCCCGCGGTCCTCTGCACCATTTCTCAATGGAAACAGCGGAGGAGAATCCGCAGGCGGGAACAACCAGGGACGGGACCTCTGAGGGAGCCACACCTGCCCTCCAGCCCTGACTTGAGCCTTTCCTGCCCTTTGCCCAAATCAAGCAAAACCTGCCTGAGCATGAGCCAGGCCGAGCTGAGGGCCTGCCACGCTCTGCAAGCTGTTCACGCACCACAGCGCCTTGCTTCCTGGCTGAGACTGAGCTGCAGAGAGCAACCCTTGTGCAATTCCCCAAAAGGGAGGACTGGGGTGCAACTGTAGTGGGAGCCTCATCTCATGCTTTCCCCTTGGCCTCAGCACACACGGTTCACAAAGCAAAGTGAGTTTTCAGGGGCAAGGCCCAGTTGCCAGGACCTATCTGCGTAAGGGGTATGCCACCCACGTCACAGAGAAAAATCACCCAGTACAGGGCCCAGCAAGGCATAAGCACCACTGGACTTCTTTGCTGTTCTAGTTCTGTGGGGGCGCCTAAACTTTAGGAGTATAAGCGGCTGACCATCGATTTCCCAGAGTAAATGATACGGATTTTGGTTATGACACAGGGTTGCCACAGGCAAGCCCATGCCACTGGCCCATAAAGCTGACATAGCAGGAGTCAAGAACAATCCCAAAACGGATGATCTGGCATGCATGGGAAATAGGACAGGCTTGGAGGAACTAGGAGGAGGCAGGAGAGCAGGAACACGGGTGGAGCCAGCGGGCAGACAGCTGTACTTCAAGGACCCTCTCCTCTGCTCCAGGTCTAAGAGCTGCCGGCCCCTCTGCAGGGCTGGCCCTGCCATCACAGCACACTCCCCTGGGAGACCCTAAGCACGCAGGGGATCATGGAAAGGCTTGTTAGATGGCAAAAGGAACGAGATGGAAAGGAACCAAAGAGCGAAGGCAAAGCCAGGAATGCCTGTGCGGGAGGACGCCAGCTGGGCACGGCTTGGGGCGGGCAACCTGCCGCGTCTCCGAGCACTCTGCTGCGAGGCTCTGTGGCCACATCTCTGCGTGGCAGGGAAACACACACAGCACAAGCGAACAAGTCAATGTCGGCCAAGGACAGTCCCTGGGGAACTCCCAGGACCACCTCCCCGCAGGCCGCAGCCCCCATGGTTGCTTAGCACCCCAGGGTCAAGCCCCCAGACTGAGTCTGTGAACAAAGACCCGTGCTTGGGACTACTCCCGGGTACAGATCTGCTCCAGTCATGCTTAGGCATAAACACAAGGAGCTATCCGGATCAACATGTTCCCTGCTAAATCAGGACCTGGAGGGAAGACGCCCAAACCCTGAGAGCGAGGCCCTGGGAGGCCCCAGCAGCCAGGGAGCTGTGGCAGGAGGTTGCCGTGGGGTTTTCTGGTTTGGGGATTTTTTCAACTTCACTTGCCACCCGTCCGGGGTTAGGGGACACCATTTCCCTTCCCCACGCACAGGAAGACATGCCGAGGCGCTCCTGGCTTGGTGTTCAAGCCCCGGTGCTGACATGCACAAACTGCCTCGAGTCAGCTTGGATTGTGGGTATCAATTTGAATTCAACAAACAGCACGTGCGGCCGATAATTCCAAGGGAACTGGCGAGGCAGGCTTTCCCAGCTGCGCTAGCAGCCCAGCCCCTGCCCGCCCGCTGCCCAGTGTGCTCCTCCAGAGTGGCCAGCCGTGGAAGCGGCTCCACGCCCCTGTCCTGACCGGTTCCCCAGGGACTGTGCGGTCAGTCAGAAGCAGCATCGACACTCCCGCCAGCAACTGAAAACAAATAAACCAAAAGAGAACGAAATAAGAGGAAACGCTGCAGCAATGACAGTGGCCTGGGCCGAGCGAGCGAGCAGGCTGGGGTTACATACCTCCTGGAGTTGGGGCAAGGAAAAGGAGAGCCAAAATCAGGGAACATACAAATGAGGGAGAAAAGAAAATTAAAACAAAGAAATTAAACCCAGTTCCTCAATCTTCAAGTGCAACAAGTCAGTCTCATTCCTGCCTTTCTTGCTGGGCGCTGAAGCCGGGAGCCCTACTGAGGCACTGACTCGGCTGCCACTGAGTGGGGGGCGGCACGCACTCCCCTCCACCACATCCCACCTGCCAGAGGCAAGGCTGGAGCCCCACTGACGCCACAAACCAGGTTGACAAAGCCAACATGTATCAGGCTATTTAGAATCTAGAGCAGAGAGACGAAAGATTACTTTGGTCTCTGTAATTTTAGAGTGTGTGTAAGAATGTACACACCAGCCCACAAACACACACACGTGTGTGCACAGAGTACACAGCTGTACGGCTTCCTGCACACAGACGTGTACGCACAGCTGTGACAGCCGGCAGCCCGGCCTTCTGCAGGCCACACACGCAGGAGTGACCACATGTGCCACAACGAGAACATGACAGTCAGGGTTCAGAAGGGGTTGGCGGAGGGTTAGAAAAAGTAATACGCAATCTGGAAGAATCCCCAAGGTCGCTCAGTTCTGTTTTCAGCAACATGGCACATGTCACGCATCTGCACGTCACCCTGGGTCCTGTCCCAGTGTTAGCATCTGCACTGTCGGGGCGTACTCAGCAGCAGCATTTACACAAATCTCACTAGGAGGGAAGTAAACCCAAAGTCGGACACACCGGAAGTCTTCCCGCAGGGCTGCCTGTGGCCAGGAACTTCAGAACCCTAACGTCCAGGATGCTCCTGGGCCACAGATAAACAAGATGTCAGCCAATCAGAGGAAAGTGAAAGCTCCCATTAGTAAAAGTGCTGCCTTAAGGGGAACTGAATTATGAATTAAGTCATGATATGTAAGTACTGGGGATGCACTATTGACAGAACATGTCAATGGCTGTCTTGGCAGCTCAGAAACCAGAGACCCCACTGCACCGTGAGCCGAGATGGGTGAGGGGCACTGCTGTAGCACTGTATTACGGTGGCACCCAACTCGCCTGAGCATGAAGAGGAAACTATACTCCGAGAGGCTCAGGCAGTGGACACCATTACGTCCCGGGTCTAGCGCTCTAGCTGAACAATGAATGCAACAGGCACACGTGGCCACCACGAGGTGATGGCTTTCCCCTGGTGACTCGGTCCTACAGCTCGAGGGAGCATGTGTCAGAATGAACAAAATCACTGGGCTGCAGAGGAGGGCCGCACTGCTGCTCGAGGAGGAGTGCGGTGGGGGGCTCAGCCAGGCTCTAGGTTGCCATGCACTGCCTGTGGCGGGGAGCAGACGCGGAGGGCAGAGCGGGTCATGATGCGCCGGGCAGGAGGCAGCAGCGCTGGGGCCAGTCTGGGTGATGGGAGCAGCAGGATGGACATGGCCAGGCTCCCTCCCACTGGTCACGGGGCAGGAAAGAGGAATGGGCTGTGTTCTCAAGGAACTGCCTTGAGACAACCAGACACGAGCGGGCGGTCATTTGAGGGCCTGCCTGTGCCCAGCGGTCTGTGTCCCACAGGGACAATGCCTGCCGATCACTTTATTTCTGCTGGAACAGAACTCGGAGCCCGTGCCGCCCACACGGCTGTCCCCCAGCTTCTGCAGCAGCCCCTGCCTCCCTCCCAGATGACTCACCAAGCTTCAGCAGCCAGCCTTCTCGGTCTGGGTTGAAGAACGTGTGGGTAAGGTCGTTGCCGTCATCCTCGGGGATTTTAAAGGGTTCATTTTTTATGCTCTCATACAGATTCTGGAGTAAAAGATGACACTGCCTGTTTCTGATTCTAGTAATGCCTTTTCTTCCTCCCCTTTCTCTTCATCCTTCTGCAAGCACTGAGCGCATGCTGCAGGGAGCCACAGGCCCTGCCGGCCTCTGAGACCAGGCACAGAACCTGCGGGTCTGTTTTCCTGCAGCCCCAGTGACAACATGAACAATGATTGCTGACAGGCAAGTCAGAAAGGAAAGAAGGCAGCCTGCCTCCTGCGCAAGCCCTCCCAACCACTTTCCCCTTCCGACAGCTCGCTGGATGAATGGGAGCACAGAGCCTGGACAGCTGCCACACTGCCATCCCCGGCGTTCCCAGCACGCCCTGACTGACACGAAGCCCATGGTGCTGGACTGACCCTGAGCAGCTCTTCGGGAAGGTCGCCCCCGTCGTTGATGCCCCGGTTCATGGCAATGAACCTCTCCACCGTAGGCTTATCCTTGACGTTGGGGTTGTGCAGGCTGGTGTTCAGCATGATGATGGCAAAGGAAAGCACGTAGCAGGTGTCTGCAGGGGAGACAGGACCCGGGGAGCTGTGGGCGCTGGGCCCAGAGGAGCAGGGAGCGGCCCTGCGCGGCAGGAACCAGCGGCTGAGCTCCGGAGCAGTGACTGAGCAGCAGGCCACCCTGGGTTGTGCCCGCGAGAACAGAGAACGTCAGGCCACAGAGACTGTCACACGTGGCAGGAGACCTGCAGGAGCACCATCGTCCACAAAGCACGCTGCGGTCGAGGAACAACTCAGCCCACGCTGCTCCTCCCGCGGCACGCCGCAGCATGGAAGCAGACACAGGTGTGCTTCTGCCAACCTCACTGTCCCAAGGCACAGGTTCTCTGTAACAGCGTGGCAGTGCCAGTCCTGCTGCCCTGGTGCCCTCTGCTGGGCTTTGCAGTTACTCCTAACACTCTATCACAAACACTGTGATGCCTGGATGCGAGAGGACTCACGTGAGTGCCCACCCACTCACCTGTGGACTGGAACACGCCAGGGTTGCACTGGCAGTAGCGCTGGGCAAAGGCCTCCATCATACGGTCGATCTTCTGTGCTTCCCCAGGGAGCCGGAAGCTCCACAGGAACTGCCTGCGTGGAGAGGACCGGATCTGAGAACTTCCCAGGCGACAGGAGAGCCGCTGGACGTCCGTCCTAACTCTGCTTCCCCAAGTCCCCACCCACATCACAGACAACATCACCAAATGTAAATCATGAAAACAGGGAAAAAGAATGGCTGAATAGCACACAGGACTGAAATATTTAGCTATGCTGACTTTAAACAAACTCCAATATCTAGAAAACAAGGCGGAGTGGTGATCACAGCATTCTCACTTCAATCGAAGAGGCCGTGGCCAACAGAAAGCTCTGGAAGCAGCGGCACAGAGTCAGTGTTCCCACTGCCCTGCACAGCTGTGAACACATAGAAACACAAGGCGGGGCCCGGCACCAAGGCCTAGTAGCTAAAGTCCTCGCCTTGCATGTGGGATCCCACGTGGGCCCTGGCTGGAATCCTGGCTGCTCCACTTCCCATTCAGCTCCCTGCTTGGGAAAGTAGTTGAAGACGGCCCAAGGCCTTGGGACCCTGCACCAGTGTGGGAGACCCAGAAGATGCTCCTGGCTTTGGATTGGTCCAGCTCTGGCCGTTGCGGCCACTTGGGGAGTGAATCCACAGATGGAAGATCTCTGTCTCTTTCTTCCTCTCTGTATATCTGCCTTTCCATAAAAATAAATAAATCTTTAAAAAAGAAATGACATGAGGCAATCAACTCAGTCTTCTTAAAAATTAAAGTTTACATTTTTATTTTTATGATGAAAGGTAACACAAAAGGTTTTCTAAGTTGAAGATTAAAAAAGATGTCACAATTTGAGTTTTCATTCATTTCCAAAGCGTAAGAGAGCGAGCTGTGGGATTTTGTAATTTAACTGCCCTGGACCAGCCAATCCCTTCCAGGCATCTGTAAATCCACGGCTTTCCTCCTAACAGTGCGAGATATTTAAAACAGTTCCCCAAGATACAATTCCGACCAAATGGCAGCCAGGACGGACACATGGACGGGGCAGACGGAACTTACTCACCGAAGAGCCTGGACCAAGTTGAGGTCTGTGAACTCGTGTAACTCCACAAAGGCATGAAGGACCTGAATGTTAAACTCATCTCTGCAAGAAACAGCCAGTTCGGAGGACAACGCAGGTCAGACCTGGGTGCCAAGGACCCAGGCCACAGCCATCCACACACTGTGGGCACAGCCTGGCTAGACGAGCCCGCAGACGGAGCACTGTGGGCACAGCCTGGCTAGACGAGCCCGCAGATGGAGAACTGTGGTGCAGGGCACACACTTCTCAAGGAAGGCTCTGCATGGTAGCTGCACCATTCTCAGAGAGCTGGGGCCCATCCTGGCTCCACTTCTGACCTCAGCTCCCCGCTAACACACACTCCGGTTCCTGTCCCGGCAGCCCTGCTTCCCATCCAGCTCCCTGCCTGTGGCGTGGGAAAGCAGTCGGGGACGGGCCAAAGCCTTGGGACCCTGCACTTGTACGGGAGACCTGGAAGAGGTTCCTGGCTTCAGATCGGCTCAACTCCAGCTGAGTGAACCAGTGGATAGATCTTTCTTTCTGTAAATCTGACTTTCCAATAAAAACAAGTAAATCTTACGTAAATACATAAATAAGCAACTCTCCCCCACCAGATTGGGTGCTGGGCTCCCAGCTTGGCCTGGCCCAGCCTCAGGCAGCACAGGCATGGTCAGTGAATCAGAGGATGGGTGATCTCTCTCTTTCAAATGACAATGAAAATTGCCAGCTGCCTCCTAAGAACCCGGCATGCGCAGCTGCTTTCTCGCTGTCCCACCCCCAGCCCACGAGCCCCCAGCCCGCGAGCCCCCAGCCCGCGAGCCCCCAGCCGTACCTCTCCCCCAGGTAGTCACCGATGGCCGTCTTGTTGAGCCCTTCTCCCTTGTACAGGAACTGCGCCAGGTCCTCACAGGAGTTCTTGAGCAGGTCGCTCTCTATCAGGAACTGGATCCCCTGGAAAGGGCCAACAGGATGTCACAAACCGCTGTGCCCCGGGTCTGGAGGCAGGGCTTCTCACGGGATGCTGCCTGGGAAGAGCCTGTCTGGGGTCTGCAGCAGCGCCACGGGAAGTCCCACTGCGGAAGCCTCGAGCTTCTGTCACTTCCTTCCCACATACCTTCTTAGGGTCCATGTTAAACTTCTTCCTGCCCATGGCCACCTGTTTGTTCCTCTGCATGTTTTTCCTGTAGAACAACCACCACAACCGTTAGTCCTCGGGCATACAGTCCCACGGGCCTAGCCTGGTTCCCAGAGACCTTTTTTTCTTTTTAACAAAGATGTATTTATTTGAAATGAGAGAGAGAGAAATCTCCTATCCACTGTTATCACTCCCCAAATGCCTAAAAACAGCCAGGCCTGGGCCAGGAGCACTGGGTCCCTCATTGCCTGCCTTCCCAGGTGCAGGAGCGGGAGCTCGAACTGAAGCCAGCACTCTCACGGAATGACTGTGTCCCAAGCAGTGGCTTTCTGTGTGCCACAGCTCGATCCAATTGGATTTTTCTTTAATCAACAGGCACAATTTGGTCAAGCCCTGACCTCAGCTCCATACTCACTTTTTTTTTCTTACAGTTTTGTTTTTTCTTTTTTAAGCAACAACAAAATTAAGAAAAAGGGCCTGGTGCTGTAAACTGGTGGCTAAAGTCCTCGCCTCGAAAATGCCCAGATCCCATATGGGCACGGGTTCTAATCCCAGCAGCCCCTCTTCCCATCCAGATCCCTGCTTGTGGCCTGGGAAAGCAGTGGAGGTCGGCCCAAAGCCTTGGGACCCTGCACCCGCATGGGAGACCTGGAAGAGGCTCCGGGCTCCTGGCTTTGGATCGGCTCAGCTCTGGCCATTGCAGCCACTTGGGGAGTGAATCAGTGGATTGAAGGTCTTCCTCTCTGTCTCTCCTCCTCCTCTCTGTATATCTGCCTTTCCAATAAAAATACACAAATCTTTTTAAAACTTTTAAGAAAAAAGTTATCAAGGTATATTTAACTATCATTTAATGTATGGATTTTAAATGTAATTTGAGTGATTTTTAGTAAGTTTGCCAAGTTGTGCAAATATCATAATCACAGTTTTACAACATGTCCACTGCCTGGCTCTGGCTCCTTACTCCAGCTGGCAGTAAATGATGGTGCAAGTGACAGCAGGAGACCAGAACTGAGGTCCTAGCTGCCACCTGGCCACGGGGGCACCTGTCACAGCAGCATCCCGAAGTGCACAGCACCTATGGGTGCTCTCGGCAGCACGATGCCAGGTGACTGGCACTCAGTTCCATGGCATGTGAGTCACGTAAATGCTGTAACCCTGTGTCTGCCACACACATAGCTGCTTCTGCTCAAGCCTTTCTGTTCTGAGGTTTGAATGGGGGTGGCATTGTTGAATTACATGCGATACTGGACACAAGTCTTATCTCTGACACACACACACATTTTCTCCCAGTTGTATCTTTTAACATCGGTCTTGTATAAGGGCATCTACTTTAAATGTATCCATTTCTTTCTGAGAAATGATTTTTAAGTGGCGAATCAGAGCCTGGGCGCCAGGCAGCAGTTGACGGCACAGAGCCGGGAGTGCCACAGCCCCATGAGCCCCAGGGCAGCACCAGCCCAGGATTACGGCAACAAATGTGACGGGCTGTGAAGCCAGACAGGAAGACTAAGGCTGAACAAAGCACAGACACAGAGTGAACCAGAAACAGCTGACAAGCTCAGAACTAGTTAAAACTGGTCTGGGAACCCCATTCCAAAGTGAAATCTCAAAGTCACAGATGTCTCGGCAGTCTGGAAACACACAGTCCCCAGCATTCACCCCCCTGAGTGTGCTGTGGGGAGCATGGCATGGCATGCCATCCAGGTGGGAACTGAACTGTGGTTCAATCCTCCCTCTCCACAAAGGAGGAAGCACGCTGGGCCCAGGACCAGCAAGAACCCGCCATCCACACCAACGCCGTGAGCGAGCGGTGCGGGGCCTCTGAAGCCTACAGTCCAAGCCTTCCTTGGGTCCTGGGGCAGCACAGCACGGCCAGATCCAGGTGGCGGGGGCACTCACCTCTCCTCTGTGGACCCGAGGTGTTCGATCTCATTAGCCACTTCCGCTATCTCATCCTTCAGCCTCTGCGAGGGAGACAGCCCAGAGTGACCACCGAGCAAGTCGCAGACCAAAGAAAAACCGCTGAAATCTTGCATAACTCCCTCCAACCAAACCAACCCAGACAAAAGAACATCCAAATAAGCAAATTAGGAAAACTCATCTATTCAGCAAATACCCAGATCCTACAAAGCGGTGAGCACTCCAGGGGAACGGAGGTCCAGCTCCCAACCTCCAAGAGTCTAGGGCAGACATTCTTAAGGACACAAGACCATATGGAAAATGCTGAGTGCCCTGAAAAATGGCTGTTTCGACAGCATGTTCTGGAACAAATCTGTAACTTACTAAATCCTAGAGTGACAGACTTCCTCAGGATGAGGTCAGTGCAACAGCAGACACACCAAGTCCCTCCCGCCCGCCCGGCCAGGCAAGCCCCAGAGAGGGCGCTTCCGTCCTCACTTCGTAAACAGCCTAGAGCTCAGAGCCACAGCCCCCAAATCTCCAGGCCAGGGAGTGACTGGGCATGGCCCTGCACCTCGCCCTCGCTGAAGCTCCAGCTGCGTGTGCCCAGCCCAGGACACACAGCGACAGAAACATGGCTCAAGACATGGCAGACACGGGGCTCCCTCTGGCCCTGCAGACTGACTGCACTGGGCTGCAGGATGCTCTGTTCCCTGGCCAGGGAGGCCACGGCCACTCCCAGGCCTACACTGCCCACAGGTCCCACCACCCTGAAGACAGCCCTAAGGCCACGGCCACTCCTTCTGTCTATACTGCCCACTACCTCCCACCCAACCAAAACACACAGCCCTGAGACCTCAGCCATGCCCTCCGTCCTCCAGCACCCACACACACACAGCCCTGAGGCCTCGGTCATGCCCTCCGTCTACACTGCCCTCTGTCCCCCAGCACCCAGATATACACAGCCCTGAGGCTTTGGCCATGCCCTCCGTCTACACTGCCTCCTGGTCCACCCAGCACCCACACACACAGCGCTGAGGCCTCGGTCATGCCCTCCATCCCCCCACACCCACACACAGAGTCCTGAGGCCTCAGCCAGGCCCCCGTCCTCCAGCACCCAGGCCCCCCGTCCCTCCAGCACCCAGGCCCCCGTCCTCCAGCACCCAGGCCCCCGTCCCCCAGCACCCAGGCCCCCGTCCTCCAGCACCCAGGCCCCCGACCCCCAGCACCCAGGCCCCCGTCCTCCAGCACCCAGGCCACCCGTCCCTCCAGCACCCAGGCCCCCGTCCTCCAGCACCCAGGCCCCCGTCCCCCAGCACCCAGGCCCCCGTCCTCCAGCACCCAGGCCCCCGACCCCCAGCACCCAGGCCCCCGTCCTCCAGCACCCAGGCCCCCGACCCCCAGCACCCAGGCCCTCCGTCCCTCCAGCACCCAGGCCCCCCGTCCCTCCAGCACCCAGGCCCCCGTCCCCCAGCACCCAGGCCCTCCGTCCCCCAGCACCCAGGCCCCCGTCCCTCCAGCACCCAGGCCCCCGTCCTCCAGCACCCAGGCCCTCCGTCCCCCAGCACCCAGGCCCCCCGTCCCTCCAGCACCCAGGCCCCCCGTCCCTCCAGCACTCAGGCCCCCCGTCCCCCAGCACCCAGGCCCCCGTCCCTCCAGCACCCAGGCCCCCGTCCCTCCAGCACCCAGGCCCCCATCCCTCCAGCACCCAGGCCCCCGTCCCCCAGCACCCAGGCCCCCGTCCCCCAGCACCCAGGCCCTCCGTCCCTCCAGCACTCAGGCCCCCGTCCCCCAGCACCCAGGCCCCCCGCCCCCCAGCACTCAGGCCCCCGTCCCCCAGCACCCAGGCCCTCCGTCCCCCAGCACCCAGGCCCCCGTCCCCCAGCACTCAGGCCCCCGTCCCTCCAGCACCCAGGCCCCCGTCCCCCAGCACCCAGGCCCCCGTCCCCCAGCACCCAGGCCCCCGTCCCTCCAGCACCCAGGCCCCCGTCCCCCAGCACCCAGGCCCCCGTCCCCCAGCACCCAGGCCCTCCGTCCCTCCAGCACTCAGGCCCCCATCCCCCAGCACCCAGGCCCTCCGTCCCCCAGCACTCAGGCCCCCGTCCCCCAGCACCCAGGCCCTCCGTCCCCCAGCACCCAGGCCCCCGACCCCCAGCACCCAGGCCCCCTGACCTGAATGTCGGCCAGCAGCTCCTGCTTTCTCCGCCGGATGTTCTCCAGCTCGTGCCGCTCCTCTGCAGTCAGGTCAGCGGGCACTACGAGAGACGCGGACGTTACTCAGGCCGCACACAGCACAGCACTGGGGTACAATGTGGGGCCGTGGAGGGACAACGGCATCCAGCATTGGGGGGCCGCTCTCAGAAACAACCAGCTCTCCCCAGGCGATAGGCAGGAGCCTTAGCCCACAGAGAGCTCGGAGGAAGGGTCCCCCAGGTGACAGCTGGTGTCTGAACGCCTCACACCAGGAGCCCCCACGGCACAGCCCTCTCCCCAGGCCTTACTCCCGCCTCCGGCGAGCAGTGACGGAACGGCACCACCTCATAAAGCTGACCATCCACGCATGTCCATGGGGAAGGGGTCCAGGACCCCCAGAAGGAACCAGACTAAGCACTTTGGGGCCACTTTTGGCATGCGATGGTATGAAGGAGCTAAAGGACCAATGGAGGAGGGGGCTTTAAGATGCCCCCACCCCACTATGGAATGTCTGCCTTCAGCTGCCAGCTCAGGAAAGGCTAGAAGCCACTGGGCTCTTGTCACCCACGTGACACCTGGATGGTGTTCCTGGATCTGGCCCTGTCCGCAGCGGGCATTCAGGGAGTCCATCCGTGCAGGGCCCTCCTGTGCCTCTCTGATCATCAAGTGACAACCACAGCATATCCACCGAAGCAGAACATGACGCGAACTCCAGAGACAAGGGCTACTGCACATCCTTCTGCCCTTCTGGACAGTGGTGTCTGTAAATGCACCGTGACCACAACCAAGTTACTGACTGCCCAGGTCACAGCTCTCACCACCCCTGCCTCCCCAGACCCAGACAGGTGCCCTCCCAGATGGCCCAGTGAGCAGGAATGAGCCCTGGCACCAGCACGCCAGTTTGAATCTCAGCTCCAACACAACTGGACACCGCAACAGGTCACTCTGGGCCACACAGGGCTGCCGTAGCAAAGACACAAAGCAGAGTGCAGTACCCTCTTCCATGGGCATACCAAGCTACAGACGCGGTCCTCCACACACCCTGACGGAACGCCTCTCCCAGCGGATGGAAGCTCTCAGCACAGCCTGCGCTCTGACTCCTGCACAAACAACGTCAGGTCCTGTTCCTTCTCACAAGGTCACGGATGGAAGATTCCCAAACAGTAAGGTCCAAGAGGCACAGCTGAGACTTCATTACATCACCCCATCCAAAACTCCTTATCCCCGGACTCCTCCACCAAGTTCCTTGGGGTAACTGACACTGTGGGAGGGGAGCGCAGGGGAGAGTAGGAGAGAGCAGGGGAGAGAAGGGGAGAGCAGGGGAGAGCAGGGGAGAGCATGGGAGAGCAGGGGAGAAAAGGAGAGAGATGGGGAGAGAAGGGGAGAGCAGGGGAGAGAAGGGGAGAGCAGGGGAGAGAAGGGGAGAGACGGGGAGAGAAGGGGAGAGCAGGGGAGAGCAGGGGAGAGATGGGGAGAGCAGGGGAGAGCAGGGGAGAGCAGGGGAGAGACAGGGAGAGAAGGGGAGAGCATGGGAGAGACGGGGAGAGCAGGGGAGAGACGGGGAGAGACGGGGAGAGCAGGGGAGAGCAGGGGAGAGACGGGGAGAGCAGGGGAGAGCAGGGGAGAGCAGGGGAGAGCAGGGGAGAGCAGGGGAGAGCAGGGGAGAGACGGGGAGAGCAGGGGAGAGACGGGGAGAGCAGGGGAGAGCAGGGGAAAGCAGGGGAGAGAAGGGGAGAGAAGGGGAGAGCAGGGGAGAGCAGGGGAGAGACGGGGAGAGAAGGGGAGAGAAGGGGAGAGCAGGGGAGAGGGGAGAGAAGGGGAGGTGGCGCCTGCACACCCAGGATCCTGCCAGGGCTCAGCAGAAACATGCCAGCGCTGGCCTCTGCTCGCTCCACAGCAGAGCAAAGCAGTTGGTCCCTCGGGCCTCTGGGTAGATGTTTGCACGTAGGGACTGTGGCTATGGTGAGTGACAGGGAAATGAGACATCCAAGTTTGAGACATATTAAATGTACAAAATACAGATTTTCTCCAAAAAGAGCAGATCTCTTTAATCACATTTAGCAGTCATAACACAGTGTTCTAATGACCATCCCAACAGCCAGGACGCCAGACCCGCTCTCTGCTACACTGGACCTAAGCCACTGCCCCAGGACAGTTCACAAAAGTCACTCAGGAAAGCTCGAGAGACCACAGGCCACAGTGAGGACTAGGCATCACCTTCCTCTCATGTACTTACTTATTTTAAAGGCAGAGTGACAGAGAAGGTGAGACAGAAGCCGCTGGCACCAGGGACATTCCCTCAGGCCCCAGGCTGGGAGCAGAGCGTCCGGCAGGCAGGCCCAGGGTGTCTGCACAGGTGTCACTGTCCCCACACTGGTCTACCCTGCTGCCCCGCAACACCCACAAAGAGAGGGGAACAGAGGCTCTCCCACCTGCTGGCTCACTCCCCACGTCTGGAGCTGGCCCTGGCTGGCCCAGGAGCTGTATTCACCCCACTTTGGGTGGCAGGCACCCCAGGACTTGGGCCCAGGTATGTCAGGGATTACAGGATCAGAAGGAGGACAGCTGGGACATGAACTGGCACTGGCTAATGGCATAACAGGTGGTGGCTCAACCAACTCTGCCACAGTGCTGGCTCCAACACATATCTCTTTAAAAATTTTTTAATTTATTCAAAAGACAGAATTACAGAGTAAGGAAGAGAGACAGACAGATCTTCCATCTGCTGAATCACTTGCTGCCCAGATGGCCACGATGGCCAGGGCTGGGCCAGGCACAGGAGCCTGGACCTTCCTTCAGTCTCCCACGTGGCTGGCAGGAGGCCAAGCACTTGGGTCATCTTCCACTGCTTTCCCAGGCCATCAGCAAGGAGCAGCAGGACACCTGGCCCCCCATGGAATGCTGTGTTACAACTGGAGGCTTAACCGGCTCCACCGCCACACCAGCCCCATCTGTGCCTCTTCCCTCCACTGCATTCATCCTTCTCTGGAAAATGTCTTCTGAGCTTCTCCATCAGCCACAAGCAGACACGTGTCTGCACTAGGGTCAAGCTCCGCCTCGCGGATGGTACATTCTGCAGTATCACAAGTCGCTCTCTTAAAAGCAGCTGCAGCCCACTAAACTGATGGAACAGCCCACCTAGTGCCTTAAGTCCTGTGGCCTGAAAATGTTCTGCTGTAAAAAAAGATTTATTCACTTATTTTTTATTTAAAATGCAGATTTACAGAGAAAAGGAGAGACGGAGGGAGAACGGTCTTTATCTGCTCGCTCACTCCCCAAATGTCACAATGGCCAGAGCCGAGCCGATCTGAAGCCAGGAGCCAGAAGCTTCTTCCGGGTCTCCCATGCGGGTGCAGGGTTCCAAGGATTTCAGGTGTCCTCTGCTGCTTTCCCAGGTCACAAGCAGGGAGATGGAAAAGAAGTGGAGCAGCCGGGACATGAACCAGTGCCCATGTGGGATGCAGATGGAGCAGGCAGAAGATTACACTGCTACATCACCACGCTTGCCCCTAGTTCCCCTACTTTAAGGCTGACAGAGGCAGCCACCCTGCAGATTCCAGAAGATCACCCCGCTCCACAGGAACGGGCTCCAACAGCATCTCTGAGAATACAGTGTGCTCCAGGAAAAAGCCAAACCTCCTGGCCAGCCAGCTGTCCTCACAGCAAACACACCACACCTGCTCCAGAACAGCATGGAGAAGAAACAGATTCCCTGAGGTCCCAGAAGTGAAACCTCGGTGAAGCCACAGGGGTCACGAGGCCCCCAACCATGGGGATGAGACGTGGGAGGTCCCGAGCTAGCCTCACCCAGACTGAGACAAGTGTTTACCAAGCAGAGGCAAGACCACACGGAAGCTCAACGGGAGAGGAGGACCACTGGGAACAAACCCCGCGCTCAGCACCGCTGCCGCCTGGAAAACCTTCTTATTTCTTTTCTAATCATTCTAAGATAGAAACCGGTAGTTGCCTTCCTTTCACAATCTAAGCACTAAGCCACTCTGGGTTAGTATTCACACATGTACAAGATTGCAATCTAATTTTTGTATGGTAAATTCAAAATATATATGCAGTCCTCCAGCATCCAGGATATTGTTTTTAAAAGAGACGGGGCAAAGAAAGAATCCACATGCCCACAGAACAACATGGGGGCACGGGCCACAGGCAGCACAGCACCGAGAGGCAAAGGCCAAGGGCTAACCCTTCTAGAACACTGCCCGGGCTGAGCATGCCAGAGACCTGCAGAGCAAACTCAGGCCAGCGAAGCACCAGCACTGGGTACTGGTGCTCTAACCAGACTCAGTGTGAGCAAGAAAAATTAAGACAGGAAACCAAAAGACCCAGCTGGTACAAAACAGGCTATTAAGGAAGAAAAGACAACTGTTAAAGAATAGGAAACTGAAAAAGATACAGTAAGACAGCAAGAACACTTGCTCAAAAATTAAACAAGTTTCAGAAACAGAAAGAGAACTAAACAACAAAGGCATTCCTGTAGAACACAGAACTAAAGGGCTGGAAGACCCCTAAGTCAGAGACCCCCAGACCTCCCTGCCAGTGTGAGCCCCCCAAGGAGGGAGGAGTCTGGGCTGGAGACAACCCACGCCACCACGGCCAGTGTGGAGGGCAGCCTCAACCTCCTGCAGCCATGTCCTCCGACCTGGTGACAGCCAGAAAGGAGCTGGCTGAGGAGAGGGAAGCCACAGACAGGGAAGAGGGCTCAACGGGGCACCCGAGGGTGGCAGTCCCCTCAGGCCAGCCCAGCAAGGGGACAGCTGCTACAGGGGTGTGAGACGAGCACCACTCGCTCTCCCCTCACTTGGGAACAAAGCTGAAGGACCCCATGGAAGGCGTGACACCAGTCACTTGCAGCATCAGCAGACCGTGGGGTGCTGGGCAGCGCTCGGAGAGCACACAGCAGGGCAGGCCGTGGCCACAGCTCTCCAGTACCGTTTGCTGCTTGCCAAGCTCTACCCTGTAGACGATGTATGAAAGACTAACCCAGGTTAAAAAGAAAAGCTATTTGCTATGAACTTGGAGTGGAGAAGAGGGCAAAGTGGAGAGGGAT